CGTGGCGCATGGCCACGCTACAATCCCCTCTCCTCTCGGGATCTTGGGCACGCATGCACATGCGCCTGGCATGAGTTTAAGCCACCGGGTTCGGGACTTGAACCATTGTTGACTACATGTGAGTCCAGCGACATAGCCATTACGCTAACTGCTGGTCCCAGCCCACCATTCTTTGCTGCTCGTGGGTCATAACACTGGCTCACTCCACACTGAGTGGGCCCATCAGACTGCAGTGTCCCAGCCTGCCGCCAGCCCTGTGCTCCAGTTACAGGTCAGCCGTGTGGGAAGAGGCACTCTCATTTTTGTTTTTGTTTGCTATAGGGCACGTGTGCTCGCCAGAGAGACAGACAGACAGTGAAAAAATACCCACTGGGGGTGGCCATGCTACAATCTCTTCTCCTCCATCCTCTTCTTGGGATTTTGGGCATGCATGCACATGCACCTGGTGTGGTTTTTAAGCCCCCAGATCTGGGACTTGAACCGTGTATTCAGCCATGTGTGATCCAGCTGCCTTAACCACCATGCCACTGGCTGGCCTGAGAGGCACATTCTTAAGTGCAGAACTAGCCCCAGTGCTCGGCCCTCTGGCTGCAGGTTTTGGCTTTCTTTCTGTAGGTAGCACCTTTACATGATGGCACTTTAATAGCATCTTTCCTTTCTGCTCGAAGGGAGACCTGGGCACAATGAAGCTTGTGTGGGTTAGAGCAGACAGACCTCTGTGTAGGGTGAACCGAGTGGGCTCTAAGTGAGTTACTGCATCTCTGCACCTTCAGAGTGGCACCCTCTGCGGGGAGCCCTCTGGAAGGCGGGTAGGTGGCATCCTGACCGTGGGGTCTGGCAGGAAAGGCTGCAGGACCGTGTGCAACGGTGTCTCCTGCCTCTGGCTCCCTTACTGCTTTGGGGAGATCTGACTGGAGAGCGTGGCCTGCATAGGATGAGGCCCAGGTTTCAAAGGACCCACTGTCCAGATCACGCCTGGTCTGACAGGCTCCTGAGCAGAGGTCTCCTCCTTTCTGCCATGATTCAGAGTTTCGAGGCTTTGGGATTTGTCCTGTGTTCAGAAAGCACTCGAGAGTGGAGGTGAGAGGCCGACGCCAGGCCCTGCACTGCTCCCCCAGCCTGGGTGGCAGCTGGAGTCCTCAATGTCTTAATGTTTTGATGAGATCAGCGTGTCAGAGAAACAGAAGTAGAAGTGGAAATTGGAATGAGAGCCCTTGGCCTCTGATCCCCTTTCTCATCCGTCCTCTTCGGCAGTGGCCCCAAGGATCATGTGTTCGTTTACTTCACCGACCACGGAGCCACCGGACTACTGGCCTTTCCTAACGATGATGTGAGTTCTTCTTAACATTGTGAAGACAAACTGGGACACAGAAAACAGAGCCCGCACGTTGAGGTTGACCTCCCAGTGTGGGTTTCTAACATCCCACCAGGGTTGGTTTGTGTGAGCAGTTGGTGGGTGTAGGGGAGCGTCTGTCCAAGGACACGTCTTCCCACTGGCTTTCCTGCACGTGTCTTCATACCACTGTGCTGGTGGCCGTCCCAGCACGCAGGCACATCGCACTAGACACAGCATAGGACAGGAGGCCCAAATGCTCTGGACGAGCTCATGAGTGAAGAAGCGTGTTCTCTTCCCCCTTTTCAATGTTTGGATAATGCACTCGAGGTGGTGTTCTGGGATTACACCTTTCACCGGGATCGCATCTAAAGACTGGCAAGAAGAACAGGAAGCCTCCCTGAGCCTTTGTTGGTGGGCTGCCTTCCTCGCGGTCTGCTGGTCTGAAAGTCGATGTTCTTCCCTTTCAGCTTCACGTAAAGAACCTGAGTGAGACCATCCGTTACATGTACAAACACAAAATGTACCAGAAGGTAACCCCCCGGGCGGCTGGGGGAGAGCGTGAGGAAGGCAGCGGGCACGGGGCCCAGTTCCTCAGTGCCCAGTTACCCCGGGTGGCTGCGTATTCTGGAAAGGGGTCCTTCTGGTCAGTGCGACCCCTGGTTTCCCAGGATGAGCCTTTTGTGCGTCCAGGGTTACAACTGTTGGATCAGAATCTCTGGAGAGCATGTGAAGATGCGAGTGTGGCCTCCCCCGCCGGAGTGTGACACAGTCAGTCTGCGTCACGGGTGGGACTGAGGACATACTTTTCTGAGTTTCCAAGTGAGGCTGCTGCTGGGCTGAGGTCCCTGCTTTGAGGACTGCCCCCAGTTTGGGACAGTTGGGGAGAACAGCCCCATCTCATTTTCACTCCGGCCCTCTCTCACCCACAATACCCTTCACAGGAGCTGTGTAGACCTGGTGTGTACGTGACCTGGGTAGCATAGGAAGCCATTTCCCGAGCATGGGGCTCCATTTGCTCTGCATTATTTCCATTCGTTGTTTTATTCCATTAGTGCTGACGATATTAGACTCTGCTGCCTCTGACGGCAGCCTCTTCCGGCCGCAGAGTCTCCCTAAAAGCAAAGTGGAAGACTTAGGAATGCGGAGAGAGTGGGCAAGCTAGGGGGCTAGGTCCTTGCCTGGCCGGGTGCGAGCCCCCCTTCTTGTGCTCCCAGATGGTGTTCTACATCGAGGCCTGTGAGTCTGGGTCCATGATGAACCACCTGCCCGACGACATCAACGGTAGGTGGGGGGCACCGGCCTCAGCCCGGTGGGACCAGCTGCTCAGCGGTGCATGTGGGCACCCTCACTGCTGCTGGCTGGGGCCACGTGCTCTGTGTGGTGGGGCCACCGAAGGCAGCCTGGTGTGCAGAAGTGGGGAGATGGGCGGGCAGCTCTGGGGCAGTAGTCAGGGAATAGGGTCTGCGTGAGTGTCACAGGCTGTCTAGGTCCTCGGGAAAACTGCTCTGGAGCAGCCTCGGTCCTTTGGAGGTGTTTGTTGCTGGCTGTCTGATCTCGGTCAGGTGACTTACCCTCTTTGAATCTCAGCTAACTCCTCTGAAATGGAGACAAAGATAATGCCTTTTTGCTGGGAGAGTTATTTTAAATGATAATATTTGTTCAGTACAGGTTTTTTTTTTTTTTTTTGGCAGAGGGTACATACA